AAAGGCCTTAGTTAAAAACTGTAGCCTCTAGGGGGCAAGAGTCTTAACTTTCTTGAACTAAATCCTTTTTAGTGGTGTAGGTAGCTTATGAAATATATGTTTCTACAAAGACTTCTTATTCAGTAGGTGATTTAGGGAGAATTCCCTCTAGCAGCAAATACCTAGTCTTTCTTGGAGCTGACAACTCAATCCACTGTGGGACCTGGGGTCACCTGTAAGGATATCACCACAAGGAAGGATTGTCTCCTAGGCAGAGATGAGAAATAACTCTGTCTTAAACTGAGGAAGAATTCAGAATCACAAAGAATATAAAAACCTAGACTAGCTAGCTACTATTGCAATGATGACAGAACTTCTACAGAAGAATGCATTGTAAATATCCTTAAGTGTGTGTCCTTCTCAGCTCTTACTAAGGGTAGAAATTCAAAATGAAGTTTTTATATAAAAGTGAAGAACAGTGCTATTCATTTTTATCAGTGCCTAGCCACTGTTTAGCCAATTTGCAAAAGAGCATGCAGTCAACATGATATTTTTTAGATAGATAGATGTACTACAATGTAACATAGATTTTGAACTGAACAGTTTAGATCTTTGGTCTTGGTTGTCAATTTTTATATGCACTTTAAAGCATATTCTCAAAGCCAGGATCAGTTTATAAAACTCTCAGCTTCCCTATCACCTGTCACATGACGTGCCATATATATTTATTGGATTCTCAGAAAGATATGGTTGACTGACTTGATGTTATCTTTCCACAGAATTCCCAAATATATTCCTTAAAACAATTAAGTAATTGTTTTGTAAATGCAAAATGACACTAAGTCTTTATATTTAGCTAGGTGATGAGTTAGCACTTAAGTAAAAGTGGAAATGCATACCTTCCTTTAAGGTTATAGAGTTAAATTTAGTATACAAGATAGTACTTTTATAATTAAACAGCTACCCACATCACACTTTTTAAAACAAATGTTTATTACTTATTTCTTCTATGAATAAGAGAAAAAGAGAAGAGACAGCACCCCCTACGGGGTTCCAACACCACAGTCCACCCTCTGACTTCAGCCAGCCTCAGAGCATGGGCACACAGATATCCAGCATCCTCAGGGAGGTTTCATACTTGAACCAAGAACCTTCCTATATGGAATTGCTTCATACAGAGTATTGCATTTTACTGCTAGGCCACCATCTGCCCTCCATATTTTTTATTAACTATTATGTAGGTTATTTACTATAAAGGGTTCTCAAAGTGATTGTCCTAAGATGCCATATTTAAAGTTATTTGGTACTGGGGAACAATGGTATTCTCATATACTAAGGAAAACTCTTGAATATATGTATGGGAAGCAAAGAATAGTTAATATTCTTATGTGAACTGTTTTCAACACAGATCTCTTCAAACACTTCACAACTGGGTGGTGCTGAACCTGTGAAGCGCTGTGGAAAGTCTGCACTATTTCAGCTGGCAGAGGCAAGTTCCTAAGAACGTATTGAGAGAAGATCTGAAAAAACAGAAATTACTAAATGTTTTATTTTGACAGTGTTCTTAAACTGTACCATTTCACCTGTGACCAATGTGTAACATCTTGATTTCCAGCAATGAGAGGGTTAACCTTTAATTTAGGAAAAGGGAGTTTTGCTACTAAAATCCATTAAGCATTGAAAAGGTTACCCAGGGATACTGGAAAACCTTTTCACAAGTTGTATTTTAAAATAAGGTCAGTTTTATCTTTTCCTAGATGGGTTAAATAAGTCCAGCCTGAATACAAAAGAATAGCGTAGGTTATTTCTCTTTTCTCTGATTCTCTTAAACCATCTATCTATAAATTCTAGAAGGCATTACCTTTAAATCAGGTGATTAGTGTTTTAATTTTTTGTTTGTTTGTTTGTTGGTTTTAGTGAAAAACTCATCTGCCATGTTTATACATTCTGATTTTCTAATACCTATCAGTGGTACATTTGACATGATATAAAATGCTACTTTTCCATCGATAAAGTAGAAAATGTGCTTTCAAAAAATCTGTGAGAATCAGAGCCCTCTTGGCGGGGATAGGTTGGGAGGATGATACAGAAGCAGTAGTTGCTAAGGTGAGTGGGACCCTGTCTTTCTCTGCCAGGATACAACCACTCTGCTTCAAGGGAACATGTGCAAGTGTCTGTAAGCACAGGGACACTACAGTAAGTTTTCTCAATGAAGAGACAAGTTAGGAAGTACAAAGTGAATGATCAAAGATCTCTTATATTAAACGTTTTCTTTCTTTTTTTTTTTCTGATTTTTTGGGCATCCTTCCAATGAGTTCTATCAGAGTCCTTCTGTGAGCTATATGATTGTCTTCTATAAATTATTTGTAGATTATTGAACAACCAGAAGACCTGTCATTTCTTAAAGTTTCTAGATCTTAGCGTAGTTTGTCTCATGATTGGGAGTTTTATCTTTAGGCTTTTAAAGCTTAGCCACATACAAATTAGAAGGATGAAAAATACGAAGACTTGAAATAGGAAAGCATATCAACATTGGGACAAATCAGCCCTTTGTTGTCTGACACAGCACTGACATGCTTCTTTGTGTAAGACCAATTGAGACCCAAATAGAGAGCTATAGATAACAGGAAAACTGCAAGGAAAACTTACGAAGACAGCAGAGTATAGTGCTAAGACAGAGCTGTGTAAGTCTCTACAAAGTTCTGCTTCAGATACAACCAGGACATTGAAGGTCTGACAGAAAGAGGGTCTTTGCAATTCAAGTTGTAAACAAATCTCAGTAAGCAGAGACTGTGTGATTAAGAATCTGTGTAGTATCTTTAAAACTGTAGATGATCCAGACAATGTTCTTGAAAGAAGTGATTCTTTTTCTTGAGTAATATTGATGAATGGCTCTCTTCTCCTGTTTATATAACTTCCTGGGGGTGTGTATGCTCATAGACATAAACGTACATAAGCTTTCTTAAATATTAAAGGCTACTAAATTGAAAAACCAACTTATAATATGCAAGATTTACTTTATTAAACCTTTTGTTGTTAGAAATGTACAAACCTTTGGGATACTTTGCTGTAAGGGGGTGCTCAAGAGTTGAATGTGTCTTTTCATTTTCTTAAGCATAACAGTCATTAAAAAAAGATTCCTTATTAAATCAGAGCTCATTAAAAAAGAACACTCTTCTAATTTGTAGGGATGCATCCCAAATACGAAGCAGATGCTATGGTTTAACAGATGTTCAGATGCTGGTATCATAATTTAAAGGGGTAAAATGACTGAAATAAGCTGATTCCAATTATAGCAAATCAACTTATAGTCAGACTTAGTTTATTGTAACATTTGAGTAAAAATATATGCATTTGATGAAACAGGGTTGCTAAAAAATAATTTCCCAAGAAAGTCTGCTCACATTATTATATGCACCACATGAATATGATGCCATAATACAAGCAGAAGGTGTTTTAGAATAACAGCCTGAATCCTTCCCAGTATCTATTTAAACATAAATATGTATACAGTGGATTGATCAGTCTTTCCAAATAATTACTAGTGAATCTATGGTTCCTCTATTTTCTTTTTAATTTTACGTGTATCCGATATTCCTTATTTTATCCATGACGGTGCATACATTGTATACAAGAGGGAAAAAGACCATGAGAGAGAGAGAAAGCTCAGTAAGGCCTGGTCACATGACGAGACTTCGTCCAGCTCTTAAAACCTGTCAGGATCTTGGCCACATGCATGCCCAGCATATTTCAGGTTGATAGGTTGACTGGTTGCCTAGGCTGGGGATCCCAACCTGGGAATGTGAACTCCCTCTAAGCCTTGGCTTCCAGCTCTGCAGTTCTGTACATTTCATTGCCCAGAATTGGTGCTGTTGTCCAGAATCTGAAGAGACAGCTTTAAATTCACACATTTCAGGGGGAAAGCCACCAGAAATCCACTTCCAATTTGCACTAGACCCTTCTTACAGGATAGAACTGGCCCAGTACTACTAAAATTCCCTCCATCACCCCAGGGTGGGTCTTCTTGTCATCCCACCCTCATCCCCCAGGTCTTCCCCTAGGTGGGGTGATATCATAGTCTCTCCAGTCTTCTGGAATATCTTCCCTTTTATCTGTGACCCAGGGAGAAAAGGAGAGAAATGCTTTTTACTTTTCTATCCTTGCCCCTGTCAAAGGAAAGTAAAAACAGCTCCAGGAGAATTACTGTTAACAGCTGAGAAAGGTATATGCGGGAAATATCTTCTTACTCTGCAGTTTTCTGCAAGAAATGTTTTAGACATCAGTTCAGGCCACATTCTTCATCTGACCAGGCAGAAAGAGAGCTGAAGGGAGTTGGTGGCTTGGAGTCACTTGTAATAGTCAATTGCATTTGTAGTTTTGTCACTAAAGATGTGGGTTTCCCAGAGGTCAAGTGGATAAATATTAAGTAGTTCAGTTTGATCGGGCAAAAGGCCTTTGAACAGTATTGGGGAGGGGCTGACAGGTCAAGCCTGAACAGTCTCTCTCATTAGGGAAGAATGCAATCAAAACACCTTTGTGCAGGACCCTCTGAAGAATTCTCACAAGCAGGAA